AAAAGCATTCCTTGACAGTTGTACAGAACAAAAAAAAGTATTTATTTGGATTGAGGACAAGTGGTGGGGTAGACTCACTGTTTCATATTAGCACTGATTCAGACCTATTTGCATTTGTGATGAATTTATTATTGCATCCCTTTCCTTCTTCCCACTATACTCACTCTTAGGACTCTAGTTAAATGAGAAATATACCAATTTACCCTTTCATTAATGTGAGTTTCAGTTCTTCCTAGTGACAAATTTAATCAATTAATTGATAGGAAAAAAAAAAAAATTCACTGCCACGGGGTAGATTCCCACTCATAGTGACCCTATAAGGCATTTGACTGCTAACAAGAAGGCGATAGTTCAAACCCACCAGCCACTCCTCAGAAGGAAGATTGGGAAATCTACTTTCATAGAGATACTGCCTCGGAAACCCAAGGAAGGTGTGAGTCTAATTGACTTGGTGACAGTGAGTTTTTTTTTTTTTTTTTTTAACATGAAGTAGAGATGCCTCACTCTAAGGTTTCTAAGGCTGTAAATCTTTATAGAAGCAGATTGTGTCATCTTCCTCCCACAGAGTTGCTGACACATTTGAATAGCGTACCTTTTGGTTAGCAGCAGAATACCTTAACCAGCGCACCACTAGAGCTCTTATTAATTGATATATCAATGGAAAATAGAATTGATCCATTCAGCCAGAATTTCCTGCATACTTTACAATGTGCTTGGCAGTATAATAGGAGTTAAATGTACAAGATGACTAGTACTCAGGATTTTGAAGATATTCTATTAATCCAGCTTCTATTATTGCTTGTGAGGAATCTGCAGGGAATACGCTTGATGAATTTTAATGCCTATTTGCAGTCCTGCACTCATCCATTCATCCATTCCTCCATGCAAGAAGGAGGAATGGCCAATGTGCCAGTCAATGAGCCTCATCCTACTTAGAACATTCAGGATCCATACTGACAATTCTGCAAATCCATTGCAGATTGGTGAAATGATCAGGACTAACAGCTAGCTCTCTTCTCTATCTTAACCTACCTTTTTCTCTCTTCCAAAACATATAGAAAAGTGGAAATAGAAGGGATGTTAAATTGTGCTGCTAGCATTAGATGACAGTCCTATGGTTATGTGGGAAGGTAATATACTGTAATGGAAAGAGAGACTTAGAAGAGATTTTATAGTGTCAGCACAAGCACTGAGAGAGGTGAAGTTGCATACATGTTTGTGTGTAGGAGGGAATGATGTTGTTGTTGTTAAGTGCCATTGAGTCAATTATGACTCATAATGATCCTATATGACTGAATAGAATTGCTACATGGAGTTTCCTAGGAGGGGAGGATGACTAAGTACTTTCATATATTTGTAGTCCAATATTTTAATCTTAGTTTGAAGAAATTGAAGACCAGTGAGAGTGTGTGTCTATCTCAGGGTCATATGTCTCTGAACGGCCATGTTCAGATGAATATTCACCATATTTTCTCATGGAAAATAAGTAAAGTTTAAACTTCTCTCACACATTCTCAGACAACCAATGATCTCTATGTAACTATTTCAGAAAACCACGATTCAAGTGTATATCAACTACTTGAATCAGCCAAGAAGTTCCTGGCATTTACGTCTTTGTCTCCTTAGTCTTAAAATATATTCCTTGTCCCATTAACTGCTCTGATTGTCAAAGGGTCACTCATTAACAGAGCTTCAGCTCAAATATAACCTTTCCTTGGAGCCTTGCTCCAAAAGTTCCAACAGGAGTTATTCTTCTGAACTCCTATGCAAAGTGGTTTGCACCTCTTTATAGTATTGTTTTATTCTCCCATTTATCATGCATCTTTATTCCAATTAGAAGGCAAGCCCTATATAGGCAAGGACTTGTCTAATACCTTAAGAAAACAGGAGTGGTGGCTAGTAAATTCACCCCAGAAAAGTGGCCTTGTTGTTAATAATCTTGTCTCACCTATGTATGTATGTATGTATGTATGTATGTATGTATGTGTGGTAAACTCCTGGAGACTAATGAGTAGGGGCCGACTAGATGGCAAACAACAACAACAACAACAAAGGGGTCTTTATCTATAACCTCCTTGACATTTACCACAGTGCTGGCACAAAGTTATAAGCCCGATAAATGATTATTGACATATAAGTAAATAAAAAGGGAAGTTAGGAGGCTAAGATTGGCTATTAACTTTAGGGAGAGGAACAGACTTCTGGAAACAGGGATTTCACTTGGCCTTTCTGCCTCTAGTGTCCTTATATTTTTGTCGTGAGTCTAACTACATCTAGGTGTTGTGTTGTAAGGTACTTCCTTTTGGTAAATTATTTTATTCTTTCTCTTCAATTTTTTGAAAACCTCATCTTCATAACTGGCATTTTCATTTGCTTTCATTTTTAACCTGAATTTTTTGGAGACCACTGAGTTAGGAAGTTTTGAAGTGAACTTAAAAGTTTTAAAGTGACCTTTAAAGTTTTAAAATGAGCTTTAAAGTTTAAAGTTTTAAAGTACTGTAGTGGGTTGCATGTTTCTGTGAGGCTGGAGGCTATACTTCTGGTATTTCAAATACCAGCAGGGTCACCCGTGGTGGAGAGATTTCAAGGGAACTTCCAGACTAAGACAGTCTGGGAAGAAGGAAGGGGCCATCCACTTCTCAAATAATTCGTTGGTGAAAACCTTATGAATAGTAGTGAAACACTGATATATTACTGGAAAGTTCTATGAATAGCTCTGAAACATTGTCTGATATAGTGCTGGAATATGAGCCCCTCAGGTTGGAAGGCACACAAAATACTACTGGGGAAGAACTGCCTCCTCAAAGTAGAGTTGACCTTAATGATGTGGATGGAGTAAAGCTTTTGGGACCTTCATTTGCTGATGTGGCATTACCCCAAATGGAAAGAAACAGCTTCAAACATCCATTACTAATTGGAATGTGGAATGTATGATGTATGAATCTAGGAAAATCAGAATTTGTCAAAAGTGAAATAGCAACATGAAGGTCAATATCCTAGGCTTTAATGAACTGAATGAACTGGTATTCGCCATTTTGAAGCATGTCATCTACTATGCTGGTAATGAAAAATTGAAGAGGAATGGTGTGACATTCATAATCACAAAGAGTGTTTCAAGATCTATCCTGAAGCACAATGCTATCAGTGACAGGAGAATATCTATACACCTACAAGGAAGACCAGTTAATACTAATATTCAAACTTACACACCAACCACAAAAGCCAGAGTTGAAGAGATTGAATATTTTTACCAACTTGTGCAGTCTAAATTTGACCAAACACGTAATTGAGATGTATTTATGATTCTGGTGATTGGAATGCAAAAGTTAGAAACAAAGAAGAGTCATCAGTGATTGGAAAATATGGCCATGGTGATAGAAATGACACCAGATATCACATGGTAGAATTTTGCAAGACCAATGACTTACTCATTGCCAATGCCTTTTTCCAACAACATAAACAATGACTATACATGTGGACTTCACTAGATCTAATACACAGGAATCAGCTCAACCACATCTGTGAGAAGAGGTAATGGAAATGCTCAATATCTTCAATACACAATGGAATTCTATGCAATGCTAAAGAATAATGTAGAATCTGCAAACAGTGCATAATGTGGATGAACTTGGAGGACATTATCCTGGGTGAAATAAGTCAGTCACAGAAGGACAGGTATTCTTTAGTTCATTATTGTAAAAAAAATAAGGAAAGGTTTATATATGGAAGGAAACTTTCTTTATTGGTTACGAGGGCTGCCTGTGGGGAAGGAAAGGCAACACTGCAAAAGTTAAAATTAAAAACTAAATTAAAAAAAAAAAAAAATCTCAATGTCTTCAGCCAAACAAGGCCAGGAGGTAACTGTAGAACAGACCATCAATTGTTCATATGCAAGTTCATGTTGAAGCTGAAGAAAATTAAAATGAGTTCGCAAGAGCCAAAAAATGATCATAGTTATATTCCACCTGAATTTACAGCCCATCTGAAGAATAGATTTGATGCATTGAACACCAGTGACCAAAAACCAGATGAGTTGTGGGATGATGTCAAGAACATTATACATGAAGAAAGCAGAAAGTCACTTAAAAGACAGGAAAGGAAGAAAATACCAAAATGGATGTCAGAAGAGACTCTGAAAACAAAAGTTCTCACAACTGAACCAATAAGTAGCACCACAATAAATAGAGAGAATATTGAAATTGTCAAGGATCTCATTTTACTTGAATCCACAATCAACACCCAATGGAACCAGTGGTCAAGAAATGAAATGTTGTGTTGCATTGGACAAATATGCTGCAAAAGACATCTTTAAAGTGTTGAAGAGCAAAGATGTTACTTTGAAGAGTAAGGTGTGCCTCACCCAAGCCATAGTATTTTTATTTGCTTTATACACACATGAAACCTGGACAATGAGTAAGGAAAACTGAAGGAGAGTTGATGCTTCTGAATTGTGTTGGTGAAGAATGCTGAAAATACCATGGATTGCAAGAAGAAAGAAAAAAATATGTCCTGGAAGAAGTGCAGCTAGAATGTGTTTTGGAGGTGAGGATGCCAGATTTCATCTCACCTACTTTGGCCATGTTGTCAGAAGGGATCATTCCCTGGAGGACATCATTTCTGGTAAAGTAGAGAGTCAGTGAAAAAGGGGGAAGACCCTCAACAAGATGGATTCACACAGTGGCTGCAAGAGTGGGCTCAAATCTAGCAAGGATTTTGAGGATGGCACAGTACCAGGCAGCATTTTGTACATCGGGTTACAATGAATTGGAGCCAACTTGATGGCACCTAACAACAATAATGACAAAAGTGAACTCGTTTAAGATCTCAAACCAATTATAAATAAATAAATACTCGGAGGTTCTAAGTATTTATTTATAACCGCAGGGCCCTTGTCTTACTCTGATTCTCGCAACTCAGCTGAGTGTCAATTATTCTGAGCGGACGTTGATGAGCTGTGGGCAAGAATTATAATGAGAGGTTAATTATACTTTACGAACTAGGTAAAATTGAGAATATTCATACCGGCAAGGGAAAAGAAGAAAATTTGGACATCGTTCTAGGTAGAGAGATATGCAGAGTGTGAGCCCAAAAGCTGTCTCCCATTTCAATCTCTAGTTGTGTGATCTGTGTGATCATGGGCAAGAGCCTTAGCACCCTGCGGTTCTGCTTCTTCATCTTTAAAGTGAGAATATTTCTGGGCTGTTCATAACGTTTTCAGTGCCCAATTTATTTCAGAACTGGACCTGGCCATGTCCTTCTTCCTAGTCTGTTTTAGTCTGAAAGTTCTACTGAAACCTGTCTAGCATGGGTGACCCTGCTGGTATTTGAAATAACAGTGGCATAGCCTCCAGCCTCACAGCAGCATACAAGCCACCACAGTACAACACACTGACAGATGAGTGGTGGTTCAAGTGAGAGGGCTAGTGGTAATTCAAGTATGCTTATGTCATTATAACTTATGATACTCTTGGAGATAAATGAAAGATATTAATGAAGGAAGGGTTATATATATTGCCAGGGAAAGAATACTTGTGAACAGAGAAACAGAGCTGAGAAAGACAGGGCCCAGAAAGTAACTTAAGTCTGTAGGGAAAGGAACTTAAAGAGAAAACAGTCTAAGGCCATGTGCATACTTCACCTTAACCTTACTGGAAATATGTTGTTGTTACCTGCCTTTGAGTCAGACCCTACCTTCTGGGTACCTCATTGCACAACTGAATGAAACACTGTCTAGTCCAGCACTATCCCCATGATCAATTGCAGATTGACCCATTGTGATCCATAGGGTTTTCACTGGCTGATTTTTGGAAGTAGACAACTAGTTTTTCTTCCTAGACCATCTTTGCCTGGAAGCTCTGCTGAAATCTGTTCAGCATCACAGCAACACACAAGCCTCCAGGGACAGACAGGTAGTGGCTGCATATGAGGTGCATTGGGCAAGAGTGGACTCCAGGTCTACTGCAGGGAAGTTGAGAAGTCTACCACTGAACTACCAGTGTCCCACTGGAAAAACAAAAAGACATAATTGCCTCTAACTGCTTAAGTGAAGGAATTTGCTTATTTTATTTATTTTGTTTCCACAGTGCAGGAGTCATTTCCACAGTAGACTATCTCATGACATATATACTCATGATGTAACTGATGCAAACATATATAACAAAATGGGTTTTCAGTGGTTTTAAAATAAATAAGGTTATTTCTCATGCACCTTTTATGCCAGGCTTTCAAAAAGGAGGATATAGTCCAAAATTTATCGAAGAATAAATAACTCACTAAAAAACCCATAGCTATCAAGTCAATTCTGACTCATAGTGACCATCTAGGGCAGAACAAAACTGCCCAATAGGGTTTCCAAGGTGCTGTAGGTCTTTATGGAAGCAGACTGTCTCATCTTTCTTCCACAGAGCAGCTGGTGGGTTCGAATAGCTGACATTTTGGTTAACCAGAGCACCACTAGAGCTCTTTAGGGAATAAATAGTCCCACATAAATGCATACTGTGCATATTTGAAGTTTACTCCTTTAGAGGCAAAAACATTTTTTGAAGTAAAGATTTCTGATGAAATTCTATGTAAAACAGATTGCACACTTTTGGTCTCCAAAAATGGATGATATAAAATATAATTTAAATTTTTATTGTTGATTCAATATTATAATTATGAATATACTTATTACTTTATGTTATATAGTACAGTTATGCCCTCTGGGCTTATTAGGAAATGATAATGGAATTGTCAGAATTATGTGTAAAATGACTTACATTTGGCTCTTGCTTTGAGAACGTTTCTTTTTCATGTATCTTGGTTCTAAGATGTTGAGGTTATTAGGTAAATACTTTCATGATAAGGGTAACAGAACTTATTCAATGACATAGTGATTGTTTTTTTTTTTTTTATTTTTTGTGTTGTAGACATTATACAAATTTGACAATGACTTACATTTGGCTCTTGCTTTGAGAACGTTTCTTTTTCATGTATCTTGGTTCTAAGATGTTGAGGTTATTAGGTAAATACTTTCATGATA